CAAAAAAAAATCAATTCATGATTGATCTCACAATCATTTGATTTCTTTATTCATATCAGAGGAAATGTCGCAATTAAAACTCGAGAATGCCTTCTATTTCTGGTGAAATTGAACGGTCATTACAGAAATAAAAATTATTTCGATTGTTTTTATTTAAACATTTGAGTTCACTTTGTGGGGGCTTTGCTCTCGATCGTTAAATCCAAACTGCAAGGAGTGATTCAGAAGAGGAGGAAAAATTGGCTGACAAAGTTATATTTTGGTAACATTTTAAATATTAGGTCGCTTTAAAAAAATTATGAGAACATTAATAAATAATATTGTGAAAAAAATCATCGGACGAGTTTTCAGGGGTTTTCCTGGCAAGTCTGTGGCCTCGTGGTATAACGTGCACTCGTTGTCGTTCACGGCTTCTCCTTCACATTCTACTTCTTTGAGTTTTTTTGTTGGCAACTTCCTTCAAGAGGCTCGAGCCCTCCAAACCAAGGTTTTTTTTTTGGATTTTAAAGAGGCAAGATTATGTGAAATTTTAGGAGCCCAGAGGTGTATTTTTCTTTCTGGTAAAAGATCTTTTTCTTTTACTAGAAAAAAAAGTCATCTCTGGGTTTCTAAAATTTTACAGAATTTTGCTGCTTTAAAAAGAAAAAAGAAAAAAAACTGGTCTGGCGGGGCCTCGAGCCCCTTGCTGTTGAAGTTGTTAAGAAACAACTTAAAGAAATCGACGGCGAGGGAGAGGCCGTCGACGCCAGAGGGCGCGCGTTACACCGCGAGGCCACAGTGGCGTTGGATAAATTTTGGGCCAATTTTTAATAGAAATAGATTCGGAGCTATTGTTTAAGGAAAATATGCGCAGAATACTCATTAGTATTAAAAATTCAGTGTTAATTTATACCCAAGAGACCAGAGAAAGCTTGCAAACAAAATTACCATATAAATTTTATTTCTTGCTCTCAAAATATTACACTGAGCATTTTTACTTGTGCATTATTACCGTTCTGAAGCTAAGAGGTTTTTACTTTATTGCAGGATTGGAAGACAGCAAGGACAGAAAATAAGAAGAACACTACTGACTTGAATTTAATAAACGTTTTGAAACAAATCGCGTGTTATGCGGATCACTGTCACACACTCGTGAAGAGACAAGCTTCTACGATACATTGCTCTACCTAACATGATGTTCGTCCTAAACTGTGTTGTACATTAATTTGGTCTTGCTAACGTCATGTTGGACGAAAATGATTTGTCGCAGCTTGTCTTAACACGTACACTTAGAATTTTTTTCAGATAGTAGATTGACACTTAGAAATTTTTCTAGTACACTTTTACACTTAGAAATTTTTTTTCAGATAGTAGATACACACTTAGAAATTTTTCTAGTACACTTTTACACTTAGAAATTTTTTTAGATAGTAGATACACACTTAGAAATTTTAATACTACACTTCTACACTTAGAAATTTTTTTTCAGATAGTAGAAACACACTTAGAAATTTTTTATAGTACACTTTTACACTTAGCATTATTTGGCCAATTTAAATAATACATAACAACTTACAAAAACAGTCTTCGAACACTATTCAGAAACACTATATATTTTAAACTTTGACAATAATGCCATTCAACTACATGCATAGACTCTTCATCCTTAACGTCAAAGAGCATCAAACCATTATGATTACCGTTACAAACACATTTATTTGTAATAGTAAATCAGTCTGTACAACATCCAACTCTGCAAAGCAAAAGACAAAATTTAAAATTGAGACAAAACGAAATCTCTTGAGAATAACAAGGATTACAATATCAAAAGAATTTAAAATTCAATTGTTTCTTTGAAACAATAGCACCGAACCTACTTCTACGTTAATTTTGCCCGCTATTTACTAAATCGTCAATGTGGTCTTGTGGTAACACACACCCGTTGGCGTCGACGGCCGCTATCCCCAGCCGTCGTTTCATTTAAGTTGTGAATTAGCAACTACAAGGGGCCGAGAGGCCCCGTTGGTCGATTTTTTTTTCTCCTTTTTTTAAAAAAAGCAAAAGTCTGCACAATTTTAAACGCCCTAAGACACGTTTTTCTCGACAAAATGCCTAGAAAAAATAGTCTTTGGGCGGCTAAAATGGCACAGATTTCCACTATACTTGGTAGTTCCACTAATAAACAAAAATTACCCGATGATTTCATAGCGCCTACGAAACAATGATTAACTAGCGGAATAAAAAAAGAAACAGAAAGACCTTTGCATTTCAACCACAACAAGAAAAAAATTAATTTTTAGGATTTTGTCCCAAACTATTTCCAACTTAGTTTTGAGAACTTAGTATTCCATCACAATAATAACCCCTAATAACCTCGCAATGAGTTCAAAGACGAAAAGAGAAAGAACATCTGCATCATTCTTACCAAAAAAATTAAGAAAGTTTCAAGAATTAAAAATATCCAAAAGTATACTTGCAAGTTTTCGATTAATTTTTATTAAAGTTCCGCAGTATCCAAACATTGTGTAAGAAAACTGAATGACAAACATGATGTCTTGCATTAATAATACTCTGATCGATTTTAAGTTAACGTTTCACTTCAATATCCCAGACAGTTAAAGCTCCTGCAAAAATGAAATGACAATGGTCGATCAAAAAGTGACTTTAAACTTTATTGCTCGTAAACTCTTGCGTTTGAAGGCAAACAGTAAATAACGCAGTTTTCTTAAGGTCTACACTATCAAAACAAAACAAATTTCAACCTATTTGAAAAATATATAAGCTAACCAATTCAAATGCACAACGTAACAACCTCACATAGTTTAAAACAGTGCCAAACAAATCAAACCCATTCTAATGTAAAAGATTGTCAGCAGTTATGAATGGTAGCTCAGAAATATTTAACATCGTCAGGCAGACATGTCTCAAAAATACTTTCAAGTTCATGATCAGCAAAGCATAACAAAATCAAGATTTGGGAAGCATGATAATAAAGCCAATCCGTCAGGATACAGCAAATAGCGAGAATAAAAGGCAAAAACTCATTTCACGACTGAAATAACAGAACCTTTCACAGTAAAATTTGTAAAAAAGGTAAAGTAACTTTTTCCAAAAAAGGATGTTGATTTTAAAAAGTTTATTTTACTTAGTTTTATTGGAACAAAGGAACTGAATTTATATATTGCATTCCTGGTGTCTCCTTCCGTTTATTTCAATCCATGTTCGCGATGCATTGAAAAAAAAAAATCATTTTGTGTTTACAATAACAATTTACCAGCCTTAAGAATATTTCCGGGCTAATTAAAAATTTAACATCGCAAAATAGTAATAAAAATCGTTATCATAATTCGAACATTTTCATGGCAAAACCTTTCAAAATATCAAAAACAGAAGACCGGCACAGAATGCGTGGAATACATTGATATTTAACGACGGTTTTTGCATGAATAACTTTGCACGTTAAATTTCACTTAGCAAGTTTCCAAAACAACTGTAAAAACCCATTACTTTTCGAAAAACTACTAATCACCCCTTCCAAGAAATAATCTGCCATTTTAATGTGCAACAAAGTGATATAAAATGAATAGAGCAAACGTTAACGATTAAAGTAAAACGCTTTTATATTTGGCTTCAACTCTTCACATTTACAGAACTTTTCACGATACACTCTCCCAAATCAAAGGAAAAAAAATTTTTTTTTCTGCAAAATAAGATTACTGAAAATCTTATGGCTCGTAAACCTTCCAAATATAGCAAGACGGTTGCTGAAAAACTCCAGTTAAACACAATACTCCTCAAAGTGTTCAAGTTAGACAGCTAAAATTTAAAGTCTAATGTCCCGAATTATAGGGCAATCATTGTTTACCAATTAAGCTTCTGAACGAGCTACAAAATGAAAATTTCACTTCTGGACATTAAAAGTAGGTCTGAAAGGTCATAGAAAGATGGCCGGATGTATTAAATACTTTTTGTGCGACGTGGGTTTAAAACTCCAAATTTACAAACAATGTATGAACTCAATTTACACTTCTTCAATTTTACACTTCAAAAACTAATTATTTCACTATGTACCAAGATCACAAGCTCCTTGACTGTATGGAGTCAAGTTAGTATCTAGCATAACACAGTCGTCTTCTATTTTTGTTATCACTGATTATTCGTGGTTGCTTTGTTTTGAATCTTTCATCTTGCCACATCAATTCATTTCCATCCTGAATAAACCTATATTATTTAAAAACGTGTACCGTGTTTCTATCGAGTTTTAGTATAAATCTAATCGCGTTCTGTCACGAATGCCCTTCTCTGATTGGCTATACTACTCGCTATCTATTCTGTGATAGATGGTGAGTAGCGTAGCCGTGTACCCTTGCTAACAAAAATGGAGGCTGCTTGGCGTTTTCGAAGTGTCTGTGAAGAGGATTTAGATTAAGTTTTGAACTACTAGTAGATTTATACTAAAACAATTAGATTATTCGCTCTCGATTTCTATTGCGCGATAGTTGACGATGTAGAAATCTCGAGCTCATAATCTAATTGTTTAATAGAAACACGAGTGGAACTTTGGGAGAACGAGAAATGCTATGGGAACACGAGCCGCAGGCGAGTGTTTCCAAAGCTTTTTCAAGTTCTCCAAAACTTTCACGAGTATTTCTATAACTCGATAGAAACACGGAGAACATGTTTTCTATTTCTTTTAGAAAACACCGCGACTAAAAAAAGGAGAACAACTTGTTAACTTTCATTATCAAAATGTAAATTCTCTTTGCTCGCACCATCATTACGTCAACAGCTCGTGCTAGTTCTGTGTTTCTATCGAGTTTTAGTAGAATTCTACTAGTATACTAATGCAAATGCCGTAATCTGATTGGCTGAGTCAGTGAACACTATCAGCCATTAGTGTGTAGTGGCTGGAGGTCGTTTAAGAAATGGCGACATTTTTTTCTTTTTTCCAAAGTTTTGGATGAAAATTTTGATGCAAATGGATAATTAAATTTCTGAGAAGTCAAAATGAAGGACATTTTCGGTTTCTTGACATTTAAAAAGGTTTAAACTATTCAATTTTAAATGACAAGTCAACCCGAGTAACCTTTTTCAGGCGCAGTTTAATAATACGTAAAGAAATAACTGGAAACCGTTATTTGAAGTAAATTTTAGTAAGAATTCTACTAAAACGTCGGCCTCATCAACTATCACCTCATAGAAATCTCGAGCTCATAATCTAGTTGTTAAATAGGAACACGATTCCAATCAGAGCACCTATTTTCTTTGGACTTTTTTCTAAATTAATTGTATCGCTTTGAGGCAAAATATCAACGGTGGTGTCAGCTAGCAAAGATCATCCTATGCCTTTCAAAAAAGGATAGTAGACCCCAAAAGAAGTGAACTAAGAAAATGATTGACAACTCATGGTCTTTGAATTTTTTGTTCATTGCCTTTTAGCCTTGAGCTAGCTATCTTCACTTCCATTTCTGTAGATATTCTAAATGAGGTTGAAATTGTTGTAGACATTGGTTGGCACTCTATCTTTTCTAAGTAAATACACCAGCAGTCTAGCAGAATCTTAATACATTTTCTTGTTGCTATGGTTTTCAACAGTGCGCTTTTTGTTATCACCTTTCCGTGTAGCTCTTTCGTGTTCGTTACAACTGTTTTTGTTTTCTTTTTTAAGTTTGGCAGTTGTAGAATTTTACCTTGTCTCTAACATATAGGTGGCAAGGTTCTGTTTAACAGTTCAGCTCGTGTTTCATGAATTAATTTCAAAAGACCAGCTGATCTTAGGTAAAATGCGTTCAAGATATCTGTTTATAAAAACATTTTAAGTTCACGTGGTTAATGTAGAGGTCGTTAAGTTTTCACAGTTTACCAAGAAGCATTCTTATATTAACCAAAACAAGTTCACAGACAAAACAAGTTTATGGCAAACCACCAAATGTTCCTGACGCATTTGTATTTTAGATCTAAATAATATCTACAAGATGAAGAGTGCACCCTGCTCATAAAATTCAAAATGATAAAAGGAGTATTCTAGCTGTTTTCTCTGGTTCTCCTACACCAGTGTCAGAAATCAATCACCATAACACCAGGTATGTATCAAATCAAAACTTCTATAGGTCAAAAATATCAACTAGATATGGACAATCGCATTCCAATTTTGTGCAGCGAATATTTGGGAATCAGTTCCTCCGATCCTAGCCTAAACTGAAAAACGTATGATATAATTCCTTAAGAAGTAGCATAAAGAGGTAAGCAGCACCTTAAATACTTCAAATATATAATTAATAATAGTCATTTGTATTTCTGTAATGTCTTTTTGTTCTCCGCATTTACCTTAACGTGTGGTAACAAGCTCGAAAGCCAGTGGTTACTCTTGTTACCACGCACATATAAATTTTTTATTTTTTCCATAGCCATATGCAACATATTTATGTTATAATACTGATGTAAATTAATTCTGTAAATAGTGCGAAATAAAACTGAGTTGATTGATTGATTGATTTTTGGAGTTTAACATGGAAAGGATTATCTCCTAGAGACAGGTTTGGAATCAGACTAAATTCGAGCTCTTTGAATATGTATGCAGGACGTTTTCAGATACATTCGTTGAAAAAAAAAACACTCAGCTTGAAAGTAAAACCCTATGGACATTAATTTAAAGATGAAAGCAAGAAATTAAAAAAATTGACTGCTACTCCAAATTCGCACATCGCTAAATTAAGTAAAGCAATTTGTTTTCACTGATAATTCTCATGGCGCAATTCGAATTACAAAGAAATCCATTCCAATTAAAAATCCTGGTTAAATGCAAAGGTCTCTTTAAGAAATTAAACTACTAGAGGGAGAAAAAGAGAAGACTCTAATGCACAAATATATATCAACCTCATGTGGATAAACGTTTTGGGAAAAAGCAGACAATTTCCTTAGGCCCTACAAAATATTAATGTTGCAACAAAAACCACTGAGCGACAAAAGGAAAATAATAGGTGCTTCCCACTCCCTCCACCTTTCCCCCCCCGCCACCCCCATTCCAACGTAAAGACACAGTCTAACCTCTTGTAAGCAATACTTTGTATAAATGTTAAACACCAGATTTTTTGAATGCAGTATCCATTTACAGTGCCTCAATGTTTATCAAAATTAATCAAATGACAGATTACCTAGAAGAGGTTTGACTGAAAAATAACTTGGCAAGAGTATAATTAGTAGTGATACTTACAATTATCCCCCGTTCTGCTTGATTGCGATTCTCTCCTGATGTTTCTTAGAGTTGTCACAATTTGTAATCCTGAGATTTAGAGCAAAAAATAACCTTAGTTTAAAAGCACACTGCAGAAATGTATACTACATGAATACATATAGGGAATACTACTTGGGGTTCAAAATAAAATGTCATTTTCACTGAACTTCTTGAAAGGTATAATCCTTTAAAACAACTTACTCCATCCATTTTTACAGCCAGTTACATTTCACCCTAAATCGTTCCCTTAACTATTTCGGTTCATAATTCTGTTCAACTCAAAAAATTCAACTCAAATCCCAATACGTCGGTAGAAAATCAGCAATAGCTACATAGTTTTAAGATATCGGATAAACGTTAATCCAAGAAGTATTCAATGACGGCTGGGTGATTCTGGACGATATTCTGAACATTGAACTGGCACGTAAAGCAAAGTTCCGATTTGTGCAATCTGCCTTGACTTTTTAAATTAGGTTGACACTTTGCCCTACTTGCTGCTCGATTTCTTACTCAAATATACTTTGTGTTCTTCACTCAGTCTAACAATTTTTGGACGGTGTTTCTTTATTCAAACGTAAGTGACAACTTAAATAAATGCTTTTTGAACACTACGGTGCAGAGATGAAGGTCGTCCGGCAAATTCTGAGAGTTTTTCTGATTTCCCTGAAAATTACCGTCCGATGTTCCCTGTAACACCTTCCATGTCCCGATATCCTTTTTCACATGTTCTTGGTAGAGTAACAAGTCTCCCGCGTCCCGACAATTTCATTACATTCTCAGCCAGAAATGTCCTGTTGTCCCGAAACAGCGGTTATCAGGATTGTGCCATACCCATAATTGAACAAAATATCATCACTTAGCAACAGAGATAAACACTTACAATTTTCATGGAGTGTATTTCGTCTTAGCCTTGCATCGTAGTCGGCAGTAAGTATACACAGAAAACTCCTCTAATAAAGAAAGGGAAAAAAACAAATTGTTACGAGGACAATAAAGCAAGGACTTCACTCTTTTTTAATCTCATCCCTGACTCATGAGAACCAACAGTTACACAGACAAATTATGTTGCACTGTAATGTAATTCAGACTTTGCCGTTTTCCCTCAGACACTTCGAATTAGCGCCCCCTTCGAATAAGCGCCCCTCCTATCGGCCACAATTTAAAATAAGCGCTTCCCCTCGAATAAGACCCCCCCTCCTCTCCCCCTGTTTTATGGAAGAGTATTAAGACAACAGAGGATGTATAATTTTGGTCGTGTTCAATCACAAGCAAGTGATTATCGACTCATTCAAGCACTGCGAATTGACCGTCGCAACGGATGATGGTGAAGATCTGCTGATTCATTGCCTGAAGCCCAACCGACCTTGTGCAGCAGGCCTAGACCGGTCAAAGGTGTCATTATATTATGTAGTTCTTCACGAGAGACAGGATCCTTCCGAGACTTCTGAGGGACTGACACGTACATATATTGCAAAAAAAAAAACGATGATATCCGACCACGATTTTGGAAAAATAAAATAAGCGCCCCCACCTTGATTAAGGGTCAAATCAGTGCCGGGCCCCCGTCTTCTCCTAAATTTGAAATAAAAACCCCCGGCGCTAATTCGAAGATTTAAGTTACTTACATTAGGAAATTGCCTCACTGTCACTCTTTCTAATCTTTTCTGGCTTACCTTGTTTTGTTATCACATCAACAGTGTCGGTGCCGGCATCCACGCCTTCTTGATTTTGGTAACAATGGGCAAGTACATCACTGATATAAGCGTAAATTCACTGTGTACAAGAAAGGGAGCTCTCAACGAAAGGCATAACGTCACCGTTAACAATAAATTATGTAATAGCGAGCCAGCAACAGAGAAGACAGAGTATATATACTCATATTTTCAACTGAGTGACGTGTTCGCCTCTGGGCTTGCATTGTGGCCAATCTTGAGGCAGGCAGAACGCTTATCCAACGCTATACCAAGAAAAATAAACAAAACAAAAAAGTAGGTAAAACAAGGAATGCACTGTTTCTGATCTGTGAAGAGCAGGAGTTCTACAGATCCATACAGATATTCAAGGCTTACCTTGATTTAGCATGATATGCGACAACAGCTCTCTATCTCGGTTTCCACTCCTCTTGTTAATGAAATGCTAAGAACTCCAGCTGCAAAAGAAAAATGATACTGAATCAATGCTCAAGTTTCGGACACCTTAAGTATATTGCAATGTTGGAGCAATGTGTGATCTTCTTGCCCTGATTGTGTGAAAACTGAAGTGTTTGGAAGCAAGACGCGCCAAAATTTTTCCTTCCAGGGAGTTCCAAACATATTTCTCCTCTTTCAGCTTAGAAAGGAATACAGTCCTATAGCTGGACGGTGCATGTATTCAAGTTCATTGAAATCTAAAGTTTCCCCTAAAACTCAAGATTGATTCCAGGGAAACTGCAGGTGAAAATAACCTCATTTTACGAAAACCAGTCGCGAAGACTCCAGTTTGTTTCGCTGAAACTGTAGGTAAACAAATGGATACCGAGGTTTCTCATTGGTATATGTTCCAAATAGAAGGATGGATTCAGTTTGTGACGCATAGAACTGACTTCAGTTGTAAATTTCCCTAGCTACAACAATCTCTTTCAAAGTTGCATCAGAAAAAGCTTGGCTTGCGTGGCCAATGCATCGATCGAAAACAGGGCAGTGAAATTCACAACTCGCCATGCCTTAGAAAATGAAGAATTTCATGGCTTGCTTCAGTCTTCAGTAAACAGCTTCTTGACTAGCAGACGACTAACAAGGTCCATCAAAAAAAGATACATGTATACAAAAACACACGATCAATGGCATATCATACTTTTAAGCACGAGAAAATAAATACCATTTTATAAGATATTCCGAATATTCTTAAAACTTCGATAATGTGGACCCAAGCCCTCTCTCATCCCAACAATTATCAAACCTCTAGCACCAAAGCCAAAAATACTTAGACAACAAACCGTCAGTAAACCAAAAGTCTGTTCGTCAGATTAGGCTTTTAAGCCGAAGCATTTTGAAATATTAAATTCCCTTCCATAAAAAAAACCTGCGAAAATTATCCCATACCCTAAAGCCGTTTAATTTAAACAAAGAGAAGTCCAGGGCTTGTCGGAATGCAACGGTACTTTGACAATGAGTTTCTTGAAAAGTATCTGTGTACGTTCATCTTCGAAGGCTTTGAAACAGTTGTCATACATTATAGTGGAATCACAGATATTGTAGGAGTAGAATTGAAACTAAGCTTAGAATTCCAACGAAAGAGTCGGCCGAGAACCAATTCAGCTCGACCAACAGTTGAGGTCTAAAGAAGGCTGGTGGATACGGAATAAGGCGCTAGTGCTTGTAAATCCTCTCTTAGTAAATATTAACAGATATCAAGTATAAAGTCTTACCTGTTCAAATTTGTTGAGCAAAAAGAGATTGTTGTACTTTTGTTTGCATCAGGGCCGCGAGTGCTTCTTGTTCCAACTGCTGGGTGGCAAATTAACTCGCTTTCCCGCAACAAAACTGGACAAGCTAGCGAATTTGATTGTTGACAAGCTTTCCAAATACTGTTTGTCTTCAAGGGAAGCTTTGTAAATCCATGTCTTTTGAAAAACTGCGTCCGTAGCTTGAACGACTTCAACGACAACGTTCTTTCTCGAAAGAGAAAGCTTGGTGAGAAAATAAAAGTAGCATGCATAATTTGCTGTAAATTTGCAAACAGAAATGCTCATTAATAGAAACTACATTCCATGAGTCACCCATGGGAACACGACGAGGAATCCTAGACCCCGTCCCACACTATAGCTACGCAGGGGGAATTTGAAAACGGAGCTTGATTTCTCCGGTTTGGCCTACCGTCAACACTAATCCGTCACGAAAACGGAGCTTTTCGAGAACTCTCTTCAAACCGGAGGAATTTGAAAACGCCGCCTTAGCGTTTTAGTGTGGAAAGAGAACATTTTGAAAAATTTTCGAATGCGATGACGTCACGATAATCACGTGACTTCCCTGCCCGAGTCTTCCTCAACCACAAATCTAAAATGACCGGTTATTGTTGCGTTTTCCAATTCCTTCGGCGTAGTGTGGACGGATCCTTAAAGAAATGCTTGCAGCTTTAATATAAACTAGTAAATTATAAAAAAAAAAAACAAAAAAACATGTGAAAAGACAGAGTTTTCTTCTCCGTGTGTTGCAGTTTTCGTAAAATAAAGTTCGGCTACGTCAAAGATAAAAATACTCCTTCACAAAGTTTCGATTTGCCTCGGTTGCAAAGCGAGTCCTGAAGAAATGAGTTTGATTAATTATTTCGCACATGGGCTCGATAAACAGCCGCTAAAGACAGTGACCCCGCCCTCCTCCCCCAGGAAAGAACGAAGACCAGATCAAAAGAACGGGAGGAAAAAAATTCTTTCAGGCACAACCATTGTGCGAAGTAAAGAAAAAACTCCAAGGATATATTCTATGCAAAATTTGGTCTGAACTGTCACATTCTGTAAATTTGAAATACTTAGGAAAAGTTTTCCAACTCAAATTACAGGGATATAACTGAAAGGTGATGAGGCCAGTGTGTGAAGCGAATTTTCAATTCTTTTGTTGACAGTTCGTCCCAGTATAGAGCAAGTCAATGTTGAAACAACTTATCTTTTTTGCACAACTTATAAGTACGCACCTTGTTCCTGTGTTTCATTCCTTCATTGTATTCTGAGTCACTCATAACTTCACCAACTGGGTATGCTGTGGTGGATGATCCTTACAGGTATCACAGATCTTCTTGAAACTACTTCGTCAGGTTCCAGCATTCCGACAGAGGGTCAGTTCAACCATCAGTCAGACAGACACCAGAATGTCAGTCTCGTAGTCAATCTTTTAGATCACCTGTTAGACATCCTCCACTTCTTCAGTCAGTCATTCAGTCAGCCACGTGGTCAGTTTGTTGGTCGGTCGGTTGGTTGGTTAGTCAGGTGTCACAGATTTCCTTGATTTCCTAGCATACAACCTCATCAGATACAGAATATAATGTATAGGTTTAGCCAAGCCTAAAAACAGAGCTCCTTATTACAGCAAGTTAACCTGGCTCAAGCTTACGATCCAATCGAAAACCAGCACATGGACAGCGGTCAACTTCAAAAAGACATGTGACCTTGATGAGCTCTAAAATCGAGTCTGCGAAATGGCCATGATTACTGGTCAGCGGATACCTTGTCTTGACAGGTGTCAGTTGACCATAACATGGATGTCCAATATCAAAGATGCCCATGTACACTTTAAACTAAGGCTGCATGTATGTCTAGGTCATCCTACTCCGTCATCACCATGCATACACGCCCATGAGCAATACCACTAACCACACTGATCATGAGCAAAGCTCTGCTTGGCTGCCCTTTGGGCTGCTGGAACTCCACTATTAACCAATAATTTTTTCCATAAGAAGGGCTGGATACTTAGGGGAGGGATCTTTCTCCCCTTCCCAGGCTAAAATATGTACTCTTACAAAGTAATCAAGTGTGTTTGGTAAAAAGCTGGCAGGAACATTCACAGGTGCAGGTACAGCACCTGTCAGCGAGTAGTAGGAGAGGCCCATAAGGACTTCCTGTCAAGGACAAAACTGCCAACACTATAGCAGATTACTATTCACAACACTCATGGGAGCTTGGGCAGTTCAGGGTCTTACTGNGTTGATTGATTGATTGATTTTTGGAGTTTAACATGGAAAGGATTATCTCCTAGAGACAGGTTTGGAATCAGACTAAATTCGAGCTCTTTGAATATGTATGCAGGACGTTTTCAGATACATTCGTTGAAAAAAAAAACACTCAGCTTGAAAGTAAAACCCTATGGACATTAATTTAAAGATGAAAGCAAGAAATTAAAAAAATTGACTGCTACTCCAAATTCGCACATCGCTAAATTAAGTAAAGCAATTTGTTTTCACTGATAATTCTCATGGCGCAATTCGAATTACAAAGAAATCCATTCCAATTAAAAATCCTGGTTAAATGCAAAGGTCTCTTTAAGAAATTAAACTACTAGAGGGAGAAAAAGAGAAGACTCTAATGCACAAATATATATCAACCTCATGTGGATAAACGTTTTGGGAAAAAGCAGACAATTTCCTTAGGCCCTACAAAATATTAATGTTGCAACAAAAACCACTGAGCGACAAAAGGAAAATAATAGGTGCTTCCCACTCCCTCCACCTTTCCCCCCCCGCCACCCCCATTCCAACGTAAAGACACAGTCTAACCTCTTGTAAGCAATACTTTGTATAAATGTTAAACACCAGATTTTTTGAATGCAGTATCCATTTACAGTGCCTCAATGTTTATCAAAATTAATCAAATGACAGATTACCTAGAAGAGGTTTGACTGAAAAATAACTTGGCAAGAGTATAATTAGTAGTGATACTTACAATTATCCCCCGTTCTGCTTGATTGCGATTCTCTCCTGATGTTTCTTAGAGTTGTCACAATTTGTAATCCTGAGATTTAGAGCAAAAAATAACCTTAGTTTAAAAGCACACTGCAGAAATGTATACTACATGAATACATATAGGGAATACTACTTGGGGTTCAAAATAAAATGTCATTTTCACTGAACTTCTTGAAAGGTATAATCCTTTAAAACAACTTACTCCATCCATTTTTACAGCCAGTTACATTTCACCCTAAATCGTTCCCTTAACTATTTCGGTTCATAATTCTGTTCAACTCAAAAAATTCAACTCAAATCCCAATACGTCGGTAGAAAATCAGCAATAGCTACATAGTTTTAAGATATCGGATAAACGTTAATCCAAGAAGTATTCAATGACGGCTGGGTGATTCTGGACGATATTCTGAACATTGAACTGGCACGTAAAGCAAAGTTCCGATTTGTGCAATCTGCCTTGACTTTTTAAATTAGGTTGACACTTTGCCCTACTTGCTGCTCGATTTCTTACTCAAATATACTTTGTGTTCTTCACTCAGTCTAACAATTTTTGGACGGTGTTTCTTTATTCAAACGTAAGTGACAACTTAAATAAATGCTTTTTGAACACTACGGTGCAGAGATGAAGGTCGTCCGGCAAATTCTGAGAGTTTTTCTGATTTCCCTGAAAATTACCGTCCGATGTTCCCTGTAACACCTTCCATGTCCCGATATCCTTTTTCACATGTTCTTGGTAGAGTAACAAGTCTCCCGCGTCCCGACAATTTCATTACATTCTCAGCCAGAAATGTCCTGTTGTCCCGAAACAGCGGTTATCAGGATTGTGCCATACCCATAATTGAACAAAATATCATCACTTAGCAACAGAGATAAACACTTACAATTTTCATGGAGTGTATTTCGTCTTAGCCTTGCATCGTAGTCGGCAGTAAGTATACACAGAAAACTCCTCTAATAAAGAAAAGAAAAAAAAAAACAAATTGTTACGAGGACAATAAAGCAAGGACTTCACTCTTTTTTAATCTCATCCCTGACTCATGAGAACCAACAGTTACACAGACAAATTATGTTGCACTGTAATGTAATTCAGACTTTGCCGTTTTCCCTCAGACACTTCGAATTAGCGCCCCCTTCGAATAAGCGCCCCTCCTATCGGCCACAATTTAAAATAAGCGCTTCCCCTCGAATAAGACCCCCCCTCCTCTCCCCCTGTTTTATGGAAGAGTATTAAGACAACAGAGGATGTATAATTTTGGTCGTGTTCAATCACAAGCAAGTGATTATCGACTCATTCAAGCACTGCGAATTGACCGTCGCAACGGATGATGGTGAAGATCTGCTGATTCATTGCCTGAAGCCCAACCGACCTTGTGCAGCAGGCCTAGACCGGTCAAAGGTGTCATTATATTATGTAGTTCTTCACGAGAGACAGGATCCTTCCGAGACTTCTGAGGGACTGACACGTACATATATTGCAAAAAAAAAAACGATGATATCCGACCACGATTTTGGAAAAATAAAATAAGCGCCCCCACCTTGATTAAGGGTCAAATCAGTGCCGGGCCCCCGTCTTCTCCTAAATTTGAAATAAAAACCCCCGGCGCTAATTCGAAGATTTAAGTTACTTACATTAGGAAATTGCCTCACTGTCACTCTTTCTAATCTTTTCTGGCTTACCTTGTTTTGTTATCACATCAACAGTGTCGGTGCCGGCATCCACGCCTTCTTGATTTTGGTAACAATGGGCAAGTACATCACTGATATAAGCGTAAATTCACTGTGTACAAGAAAGGGAGCTCTCAACGAAAGGCATAACGTCACCGTTAACAATAAATTATGTAATAGCGAGCCAGCAACAGAGAAGACAGAGTATATATACTCATATTTTCAACTGAGTGACGTGTTCGCCTCTGGGCTTGCATTGTGGCCAATCTTGAGGCAGGCAGAACGCTTATCCAACGCTATACCAAGAAAAATAAACAAAACAAAAAAGTAGGTAAAACAAGGAATGCACTGTTTCTGATCTGTGAAGAGCAGGAGTTCTACAGATCCATACAGATATTCAAGGCTTACCTTGATTTAGCATGATATGCGACAACAGCTCTCTATCTCGGTTTCCACTCCTCTTGTTAATGAAATGCTAAGAACTCCAGCTGCAAAAGAAAAATGATACTGAATCAATGCTCAAGTTTCGGACACCTTAAGTATATTGCAATGTTGGAGCAATGTGTGATCTTCTTGCCCTGATTGTGTGAAAACTGAAGTGTTTGGAAGCAAGACGCGCCAAAATTTTTCCTTCCAGGGAGTTCCAAACATATTTCTCCTCTTTCAGCTTAGAAAGGAATACAGTCCTATAGCTGGACGGTGCATGTATTCAAGTTCATTGAAATCTAAAGTTTCCCCTAAAACTCAAGATTGATTCCAGGGAAACTGCAGGTGAAAATAACCTCATTTTACGAAAACCAGTCGCGAAGACTCCAGTTTGTTTCGCTGAAACTGTAGGTAAACAAATGGATACCGAGGTTTCTCATTGGTATATGTTCCAAATAGAAGGATGGATTCAGTTTGTGACGCATAGAACTGACTTCAGTTGTAAATTTCCCTAGCTACAACAATCTCTTTCAAAGTTGCATCAGAAAAAGCTTGGCTTGCGTGGCCAATGCATCGATCGAAAACAGGGCAGTGAAATTCACAACTCGCCATGCCTTAGAAAATGAAGAATTTCATGGCTTGCTTCGGTCTTCAGTAAACAGCTTCTTGACTAGCAGACGACTAACAAGGTCCATCAAAAAAAGATACATGTATACAAAAACACACGATCAATGGCATATCATACTTTTAAGCACGAGAAAATAAATACCATTTTATAAGATATTCCGAATATTCTTAAAACTTCGATAATGTGGACCCAAGCCCTCTCTCATCCCAACAATTATCAAACCTCTAGCACCAAAGCCAAAAATACTTAGACAACAAACCGTCAGTAAACCAAAAGTCTGTTCGTCAGATTAGGCTTTTAAGCCGAAGCATTTTGAAATATTAAATTCCCTTCCATAAAAAAAACCTGCGAAAATTATCCCATACCCTAAAGCCGTTTAATTTAAACAAAGAGAAGTCCAGGGCTTGTCGGAATGCAACGGTACTTTGACAATGAGTTTCTTGAAAAGTATCTGTGTACGTTCATCTTCGAAGGCTTTGAAACAGTTGTCATACATTATAGTGGAATCACAGATATTGTAGGAGTAGAATTGAAACTAAGCTTAGAATTCCAACGAAAGAGTCGGCCGAGAACCAATTCAGCTCGACCAACAGTTGAGGTCTAAAGAAGGCTGGTGGATACGGAATAAGGCGCTAGTGCTTGTAAATCCTCTCTTAGTAAATATTAACAGATATCAAGTATAAAGTCTTACCTGTTCAAATTTGTTGAGCAAAAAGAGATTGTTGTACTTTTGTTTGCATCAGGGCCGCGAGTGCTTCTTGTTCCAACTGCTGGGTGGCAAATTAACTCGCTTTCCCGCAACAAAACTGGACAAGCTAGCAAATTTGATTGTTGACAAGCTTTCCAAATACTGTTTGTCTTCAAGGGAAGCTTTGTAAATCCATGTCTTTTGAAAAACTGCGTCCGTAGCTTGAACGACTTCAACGACAACGTTCTTTCTCGAAAGAGAAAGCTTGGTGAGAAAATAAAAGATCACGAAAACGGAGCTTTTCGAGAACTCTCTTCAAACCGGAGGAATTTGAAAACGCCGCCTTAGCGTTTTAGTGTGGAAAGAGAACATTTTGAAAAATTTTCGAATGCGATGACGTCACGATAATCACGTGACTTCCCTGCCCGAGTCTTCCTCAACCACAAATCTAAAATGACCGGTTATTGTTGCGTTTTCCAATTCCTTCGGCGTAGTGTGGACGGATCCTTAAAGAAATGCTTGCAGCTTTAATATAAACTAGTAAATTATAAAAAAAAAAAACAAAAAAACATGTGAAAAGACAGAGTTTTCTTCTCCGTGTGTTGCAGTTTTCGTAAAATAAAGTTCGGCTACGTCAAAGATAAAAATACTCCTTCACAAAGTTTCGATTTGCCTCGGTTGCAAAGCGAGTCCTGAAGAAATGAGTTTGATTAATTATTTCGCACATGGGCTCGATAAACAGCCGCTAAAGACAGTGACCCCGCCCTCCTCCCCCAGGAAAGAACGAAGACCAGATCAAAAGAACGGGAGGAAAAAAATTCTTTCAGGCACAACCATTGTGCGAAGTAAAGAAAAAACTCCAAGGATATATTCTATGCAAAATTTGGTCTGAACTGTCACATTCTGTAAATTTGAAATACTTAGGAAAAGTTTTCCAACTCAAATTACAGGGATATAACTGAAAGGTGATGAGGCCAGTGTGTGAAGCGAATTTTCAATTCTTTTGTTGACAGTTCGTCCCAGTATAGAGCAAGTCAATGTTGAAACAACTTATCTTTTTTGCACAACTTATAAGTACGCACCTTGTTCCTGTGTTTCATTCCTTCATTGTATTCTGAGTCACTCATAACTTCACCAACTGGGTATGCTGTGGTGGATGATCCTTACAGGTATCACAGATCTTCTTGAAACTACTTCGTCAGGTTCCAGCATTCCGACAGAGGGTCAGTTCAACCATCAGTCAGACAGACACCAGAATGTCAGTCTCGTAGTCAATCTTTTAGATCACCTGTTAGACATCCTCCACTTCTTCAGTCAGTCATTCAGTCAGCCACGTGGTCAGTTTGTTGGTCGGTCGGTTGGTTGGTTAGTCAGGTGTCACAGATTTCCTTGATTTCCTAGCATACAACCTCATCAGATACAGAATATAATGTATAGGTTTAGCCAAGCCTAAAAACAGAGCTCCTTATTACAGCAAGTTAACCTGGCTCAAGCTTACGATCCAATCGAAAACCAGCACATGGACAGCGGTCAACTTCAAAAAGACATGTGACCTTGATGAGCTCTAAAATCGAGTCTGCGAAATGGCCATGATTACTGGTCAGCGGATACCTTGTCTTGAAAGGTGTCAGTTGACCATAACATGGATGTCCAATATCAAAGATGCCCATGTACACTTTAAACTAAGGCTGCATGTCTCAGTCATCCTACTGCATCATCACCGTGCATACATGCCCACGAGCAATACCACTAACCACAATGATCATGAGGAAATCTCTGCTTGGCTGCCCTTTGGGCTGCTGGAACTCCACTATTAACCAATAATTTTTTCCATAAGAAGGGCTGGATACTTAGGGGAGGGATCTTTCTCCCCTTCCCAGGCTAAAATATGTACTCTTACAAAGTAATCAAGTGTGTTTGGTAAAAAGCTGGCAGGAACATTCACAGGTGCAGGTACAGCACCTGTCAGCGAGTAGTAGGAGAGGCCCATAAGGACTTCCTGTCAAGGACAAAACTGCCAACACTATAGCAGATTACTATTCACAACACTCATGGGAGCTTGGGCAGTTCAGGGTCTTACTGAAAGTACTCGCCACATGTACATGGGTTCTGTGCATTGTATTTGTTGGATAAACATGACCCCAAAACCTTCTTAGCCTTAAACTCAGTAGACGCACAGGAAAAGTGGCTTTTAGTTACTTTTATTTCCCCTTAACACTGACATTTGAATTAGAGATATACATGTATGCATTCATGTATAAAATGAAATTTCCAGTTTTTGTGCTACATTGTAAACATCGGACTAACTATATCCACCAACCTGATAAATGTCCTTTTTTAGCCTCTGGATAATGAACCACATAAATACACATGTACTATCCATACTACTGGACCACAGATAAAATGTTTTTCTCCATTTGCCATTCATCCAAACTAACCTACCAACCAACACAACACTTTTCTTGCTTGTATTAAATATAATCAACCATTTGGTTATGTAGAGAAGTATTTTTTAACCT